CAGGCCCATAGCCAGGGGGGGGGGTTCGATGGGTTCGACCCCCCCCCCCCCTCAGGCCAAAAAATCTTTCAAAACCATGCAGTTTTTCACCATTCTGAGCACTTTTTAAGTGATTTGGCCAATTTTTGGACCCCCCTAAAATCTTTCAAAAAGTTAACCCCCCTTGGCAAATCCTCAGGCTACCGGCCTGTGCATCTTATACTAAAAATAAATAATACAGTGTAAATGTAATTTATCTTCTAGTTTATTGCCTCTAAAGCCTCTTCAAAATGTCTGTCCTTAACAATTAGATACACAGCATGAAGTGTTCCTCATAGCAAAATAATATTTGAGGAAGTAGGTGTATGTACGTAATTGAAAATCCATCGATTACAATTGTAGTTGCGTAATTGACGCAATGAATGTCTCATGTAATCTCCCACTGTGTCAAAAATTGCTTCATAGTAAAGTATTATTATAACTAATTTCGATGTTTTCATATAAAAAATACACATTTTGTAATTATACTGAATTAGGATTAAGAAGGTATTTATTTGAACAATACAGCAACAATATCGTCTTTTTCATACATTTTCCCCAATTCTCAAAAAATACAAACCATCAAAGAATATTATTTCAATATCAGCAAAGAGGGCATACAGATTTGTAACTGTGTTTCTGATTGTGTACGGAAATGATTCATCAAACTTCTCATATAAGTTACACAATTTCATGTACATTTCAGATATGATAAATCATAAATCTTTGCAAAAACATTATGAGGCACCAATAACTCCCTCTAGATAGCCATAGTGACTATAACCAGTATATACAAGGCATTAACATGACAAAATGTCACCACCTAAAACAATTTGGTCAATTTAAAGCAAGTTGGAAAATACCTTTTGACCTTAAGAAGGTTTGATTTGAACTTCTTAGAACATGTAGATGATTTTGAAAAAAAAATTCGTCAATTTGAAGCAAGTTGAAAAAATACCTCTTTGACTTTTTTTGACATTGAGAAGGTCATTGAAGGTCAAATGTAAAGTCAGATTTGAACTTCTGAGAACATGTAGATGATTTTGAAAAAAAATTAGTCAATTTGAAGCAAGTTGAAAAAAGACCTTTTTGACCTTGAGAAGGTCATTGAAGGTCAAAGGTCAAATCTAAAGTCAAATTTGAACTTCTGAAAAGATGTAGATGATTTTGAAAAAAAAATTTGGTCAATTTGAAGCAAGTTGAAAACAGACCTTTTTGACCTTTTTTTACCTTGAGAAGGTCATTAAAGGTCAAATGTCAAATCTAAAGTCAGATTTGAAGTTCTGAGAACATGTAGATGATTTTGAAAAAAAATTAGTCAATTTGAAGCAAGTTGAAAAAAGACCTTTTTGACCTTTTTTGACCTTGAGAAGGTCATTGAAGGTCAAATGTCAAATTTAAAGTCATATTTGAATTTCTGAGAACATGTAGATGATTTTGAAAAAAATTTTAGTCAATTTGAAGCAAGATGAAAAAATACCTTTTTGACCTTTTTTGACATTGAGAAGGTCATTGAAGGTCAAATGTCAAATCTAAAGTCAGATTTGAATTCCTGAGAACACGTAGATGATTTTGAAAAAATTTTTTAGTCAATTTGAAGCAAGTTGAAAAAAGACCTTTTTGACCTTTTTTGACTTTGAGAAGGTCATTGAAGGTCAAATGTCAAATCTTAAGTCAAATCTAAAGTCAGATTTGAATTCCTGAGAACACGTAGATGATTTTGAAATTTTTTTTAGTCAATTTGAAGCAAGTTGAAAACAGACCTTTTTTGACCTTGAGAAGGTCATTGAAGGTCAAATGTCAAATTTTAAGTCAAATCTTAAGTCAGATTTGAATTTCTGAGAACACGTAGATGATTTTGAAAAAAAATTTAGTCAATTTGAAGCAAGTTGAAAACAGACCTTTTTGACCTTTTTTGACCTTGAGAAGGTCATTAAAGGTCAAATGTCAAATCTAAAGTCAGATTTGAATTTCTGAGAACATGTAGATGATTTTGAAAAAAAGAATTAGTCAATTTGAAGCAAGTTGTAAAAAGACCTTTTTGACTTTCTTTGACCTTGAGAAGGTCATTGAAGGTCAAATCTTAAGTCAAATCTAAAGTCATATTTGAATTTCTGAGAACATGTAGATGATTTTGAAAAAAAAATTTAGTCAATTTGAAGCAAGATGAAAAAATACCTTTTTGACCTTTTTTGACATTGAGAAGGTCATTGAAGGTCAAATGTCAAATCTAAAGTCAGATTTGAATTTCTGAGAACATGTAGATGATTTTGAAAAAAAAATTTAGTCAATTTGAAGCAAGTTGAAAACAGACCTTTTTGACCTTTTTTGACCTTGAGAAGGTCATTGAAGGTCAAATGTCAAATCTAAAGTCAGATTTGAAGGTCAAATGTCAAATCTAATGTCAAATCTAAAGTCAAATCTAAAGTCAGATTTGAATTTCTGAGAACATGTAGATGATTTTGAAAAAAAATTTAGTCAATGTGAAGCAAGTTGAAAAAAGACCTTTTTGACCTTGAGAAGGTCATTGAAGGTCAAATGTCAAATCTAAAGTCAGATTTGAACTTCTGAGAACATGTAGATGATTTAAAAAAAATTGAAGTCAGTCTAAACAGTATTTGTTAAGTTATAGGAAGTTGTAAGAAATTGTTACAGACGCCGGACGCCAACCGCCGGACGCCAACCTCCAACCGCCGGACGCCGTCGCAAAAAAACGGAGACCATAACAATATGTCACCACTTTTGGTGGTGACATAATAATGTTACAATGATTTTAATTTAATAAAAATCGATTTGCAAATCCCTCTTTAACGCAAAAACAAACTCCCGAAAGGGTATGAATGATCTGCCTACTTTAAATGGATGAAGCTTACAAACATCACATGCTCTCTACTAGCAATGTATTCTAGCCGGAAACTTACTAGATTTTCTCCTAATGCAAATTGATCACCTTTCTCTGCTATAATGCTATCGCCATCCCTGGCCCTTAGGGAATCCACTGAACTATTCTCTTTCTGATATTCTATATCTAACGATGGTTCTTTGTAATTACTCTTTTATTTTTTCTTCAAACAACCTGCTTATTCAAATCATGACATGGATTCTAATGGGAATGGTTCTGCGAGAAGTAAAAGATCAAAGACTCTGATGACTTGATTAAAAATCTTCTCAACCATAAGGTATACAATTAAAGAATACCTATATAATGACATAAGGTACAGGTTAAAAATCCCCAAAGTAGAAAGTATAAGGTAAATTACTCATAAGGTAAAACATAAGGTATAAGACTTCTCAAAGCATGAAGTATAAGGTAAAAACTTTTAAAACATAAGGTATAAGGTAAAATACTCGTAATAACATAAGGTATAAGGTAAATGACCCTCAAAACATAAGGTACATTAGATTTAATATCCTCAAAATGTTTATTAGGTAGAATTCATATCTTTCCTTAAAAAAAGTATTTCTAATGATATAAGGAATACATAGAAATGTTTTTAAATATTATTCTTCGAAATTAGACTACATTATATAATACATCTATAGCACTCCTTTTAAATTAAAGAGAGCCCATTGTTTATCAAGATTTTATATTTCAAATCATGAATGCAATTGACTTTCACGCAGAAAGCTTGATGTATGATATATCAGGAGAGATTGATTAAACGTCTCTCCCTATTGATTTATCTATGCAGTTCTAAAGAACGTACCAGTATTGACCCATTGATAAAATAACTCAAGTTTTTCTGTTTTCAAATTAGAATTTGGTTACAAAGGAGTGGAATTAGCAGAAATGAATTGATATAGATGCAATTTTTAGTTCAAAAATGCGAGAAAATCAACCTAAGTTTCATATAGATATCAGGGGAAAGCTTGAATATGGGTGATTTGAGTGAAGTTTTCTGAAAGGGCTGAGACAATAATATTGTTCTCCCTTCAAAAAGATATCACAAGGTAAAATTTCAAAATTAAAGCTGGAGTGGAAAAGAGTGGAATGAGCATGAAATGGAATAAACAGCCATGTGGTCGATATCGTAAATTATATGGAAACGCCAGATTATTGACGTTTTATTAATGATATACAAAATAAAAATGTTGAAATCAAGGCATGATCTATTTTTTAAGAAGATTATGTTTTAGGTCCTCATTCTTGTTATGTCAAATGATCTTTACCCTCAAAATGTTAACATCATTTTGATTTACCCAAGTCACTCTTTATCTGCTATATTGTAGAGATGTGTAGGCTCATGGAAGAGATCAGAATGGTTCAATATGAATTGCAAAATCTTACGCAATCAATCAGTTCAAATTTGTAAAACCGCCATCCCATTTGCTTCGCTGACTCATCCCTCAGTAGTTGTTTGTTAGTAGGCAGAAAAAATTTAGACCCTACATATAGCAACGCAACTGAGATACTAACTGCTTTTGTAAAAATGATGGCTAACATATGTGAGCATATAGAATTTATCCTTGTCTGTCTGTCCCTCCATTAATGATTTTTTGACAACCGCCAATTGCTGTTTGATTGAAAATTTCTATTTTATGGGATCAATGCTTGTAATTTATACCATTGATCCCGGCTCCTACTTTTTTCATTTTGGAGATATTGACTATTTCCACAATTTGGGCCCACAAAAAGGCGAAAATTTGTAGGTTGCATGACAAATTATAATGGATCCGAAATAATGTGCAATCAATCATAATATGCACATTCGCAGTATATTCATACCTCATATTTCTTTATTCATTTATTCAATTCACTCATTTATTGGTAGCTAACACAAATGTCCTTTAATTGGGGTTCCATGTAGTCTACAGACTGCACCAAGCTCTCATCAGAAAATATTGACTATAGTTTTGTATGGAAGATGTAAAACTAATATATGTCCAAATTTTGTATTTTAACCGGTGGTCAGCCTTCAAATAACATTGGTTTTGTGAAGGGTCATGAATTATTAAATAGAATCTTTGCTTTCTAATTTCAGGAGCTTGAGCAAATTGAAGAATCGTGGCGATCTGAAACGAAAGATCTCTTAGAAGTCGTTTCCAAACTGCGCGATGAGAACCACAGATTAACGACATTACTACGTGAAAAGCAGGGTGAATCAGAAAGAATAGCCAGTAAGGAAATAGGTACAGATTATCTTTTTGTTGTAATAGCTTTACTGCTTTTGGTGTATTGACCCTCTGTTTATTATATCCCTTGTAGTAAGTACACTTTGCAATCATTTGACTTTGCTTCATCTGCACTCTTTAAGTTTAGGAGAAACTCTTAGAACATGCTGAGCCAACCAGAGATCGTCATCAAAAGAAGGATGCTTTCCTTTATAGAGGGTGCCAAATAAATATGTTCTCCCCTGTAACTTCAACATCCACATGATGTTGCATAACTTTTTTGTCTGCAAGATATCTGAATTGATTTTTACCACATTTAAACTAGGCTTCATGGAGGAAACCTACCAGAAGTTTCAGTTGACTAGCTTAACTAGATGGAGTTTTATGCACAAAAGTTCATACCCTTGAAATTAAGGGGAGAGAACATATTTATTTGACACCCTGTATATGGTCATTTCCTCTGAAGTAATATTCAGTATTGACCAACACTGGCTGACTGATAGCAGCAGCAGTGGGGGCTTCCAGCCACTGAACTGTAAAATTGTCTTAACTATTCAGAAGTTACTTTAGAACTAACCTCTGAACTCAGGGTAGGATATAGGGGCCTGTTGTTAGACATTTTTTGTATTCGTTCAACTCTGCTTCTTAAAAGAGAGCTTCATCTTCACTCTCAGTTTACAATAAATCTCTGAACTCACAGAGCCAATCAGAGTTTGTCGTTAAACTACAATTGACTATCTTTATGTGGTCTGATAATATTCTCTAACATCAGTTTTGGTTCAGTGTAAAGATATCTCACACTTGACAAGTCAATCAAGTAAAGTTAGCTCCAGGGAGTATAGTATGCTCCATGGAGCAATCAAATTGTCTCTATATCAACGATAGACAGTCAACTTGGTTACATAGCAATTACAAATCCATTAAATATTTCATTCATATGGGCAGGCTATTTATCAAAGTGTTACAGCGGCAATGAGAGTTCTCAATCAATTACACTTAGATAAATTGTCTGCACATTGATTAGACTGATATTCTAGGTGAGTCTTGATGGCATATAATTTGTAAGGCAATGTCAAGCAATTGTGTGACCCCTTCATGTGATGACACCTTAATCAAGTTCTTTAATTCTAACGTTGAAGGCATCCAGAGCAAGGGCGAATGTAATTACCTGGAACGTTCGCAATTTGGCGTTCGGTTTTTTACTGCATCCGATTTGAATTAGCCAATTAAACATACACAATTGTCTAATGAAGACCAAACAAAGCCCCGGATGTTGTGCCATTTTTCGTTTTGTTTGGTTCACAACTAAGCCCCGGGTATTAAATAAGCCCTTGTCCAGCATCCAGAGTTCTTATATGCTAGGAATGGGGATGTACCCAAAACTGGAAGTTCATACTTTTGCACTTATGTGTAAGTTTAAATCCTTGTGTTTTGATTGTCTCAAACAAATACCTGTTAAGACATATATGATGTAAGATAGGACAACATAAACATAGGAGATGGCCAAATATACCTGTTTGAGCAATGGATCTCAATCATAGAATGGATGAAGGACAAAATAGAGGGTAAAAAGAACCCATTTATAAACAACAATAAGACATATAAATGTTTTTTCAAATAGACCCTTTATATGCCACCACCAGAAGTTGTGCCATATGTCACCACCAGAAGTTGTGACATAAACCACCACCAGAAGTTGTGACATATACCACCACCAGAAGTTGTGACATATGCCACCACCAGAAGTTGTGACATATGTCACCACCAGAAGTTGTGACATATGTCACCACCAGAAGTTGTGATATATTTGCTATAGTTATCGACTTTTTTGTGGACAGTGTCCAGCGGTTGGCTGTTAGCTTCTTTAACAATTTGCAGGTGGTGACATTTTGCATGTTTGCCAAATCTCAAAATTGTATTACTGAATATACCTGTTGTTTTGAGGAATTTTACAATTGTCTGTGTCTACAATAAATACTTCTAAAAATTTTACCCATTTTATTTGTTTTATGCCCTTTGACACAACTTCTAAGTAAACTCCTTTTATTATGATACTGAGTCATTCAAGCCATTTGTCTAACAGTGTAATTTAGGATGAAATATTAGTAAATTACTATATATGCCCATGTTATCGGTTGTATGTAATTTCCGTGATAACTATCATCTTACTGTAATATGTTATCATTTCTTGTCCTCAGCTCTGTTTCCATGGCAACCTCATCTCTGAGATGAAACGCTTAGCTTTATTACAAAAGTATTTTACCTCATTCTTGGCCATACGTTCATGTACCTGTATGCAGATTCAATGGATGTTTCTGGTAGAACTTTTATGAAAATTTACATGTATTGCATATTTTTCCAAAAATAAAAAAAACACAAATGTTTAGCCTCAGTAGTAATATCCTCCTAGATTCATGAAGTGTTTTCTATTTTTTTTTGTATATTACAATCATATTAATAACTTTTCTGGTACTGTTTGATGAAATAGCCACTGTGACATAGACAGCAGCCTATTCAATTAGTGATATAACATGAAACATTCCCATTTGATTAAAAGGAAGAAAACAGCTTAGGAGACCATGAAGAGCTTCTGTTATAAAGTACATTATTAGTTCGATCAATCAATACATGAGTGTTCTGCTAACATTATTTGATAACTTCAGAGAAATTACTGTCAGTATAAAACACCCTTTTCAATACTTTGTGTTCACTTCTGTAAAAGAGAGTTTCGTCTACATATTTTTGATTAAGAGAAACCATTGATTCAATGTTAAACCTGCCTTAGTGATATAAGTTTGTCAACATCTTGTTATCTACTGTAAAACCTGTCTTAGTGAACACCTCTCTCTAGTGAATACTTGTGTTTAGTGAACACCACTTCTAGACACATTTAAGATTGATTCCTGAACACCTACCCACCTACCAAATACTTTTTTGTGGCTCCATAGGTGTTTACTATATACAGAAACACCTGTGTATAGTGAAAATCTCTCTCTAGTGAACACCTGTGTAATATAGTGAACACCACTTCAAGACACATTTAAGAATGACTGACCTGTATAAAATCCTTCTCTGTAGTGATCACCTACCCACCTATCGAACACTTTTTTGTGGCTCCATAGGTGTTTACTATATACAGAAACACCTGTGTATAGTGAAAATCTCTCTCTAGTGAACACCTGTGTAATATAGTGAACACCACTTCAAGACATATTTAAGAATCCACTCTCTGTAGTGAACACCTACCCGCCAAGTGAACACCTTTTTATGGCTCCATAGGTGTTCACTATATACAGGTTTCACTATAATTAGAATTGATTCTTAGGAGGCTGGCATTTATTTAAAGAATAAAGAATCCTGAATTGAATCATTCTTTATATGAAATTTAAAATATTGAGTGCATGTACTAGCACGGCTGTAAAATAATTGTTTCTACTCAGTTGACTATATACCTTGAATTAATGCACTGAAATACTCGAAGCTGATTGGTTGGGGCACAGATGACATGTAGGAATTCATATTCAAACGTCAATGAAAGACGATGGCATCATTAAGATATTCTATCAGCTTCAGAATTGTAAAAGTGTCTGACTTTGTCAGAGAGTAATAATTTCTACTAATTTTTAGTTTTGGATTCAGGGTTGTATAAAACCTTGTCAGTTAAGCCGCTTGTGGTGTGATGCGATTAATATAGAATTGTTATTACTGGAAAAGGCCAGCAAAAGGAGATGTAAACTGGTAAAACTGTTGATGCGCTCAATTTTTCAAATGGAAAATAGTGTTAAAAATAATGAACAAAGGAAAAAAATAAATAAATAGACACATAGGGGACACTCTAAATTGTATAGAAATGAAAAAAACTCTGATACTTTATTCAAATTTTTTGGAGAAATAGAGAGAATTGACGTGAAGAAAGAGAAATGTGAGGTACGGGTGAAATGATTGAGTATGACAGTTAATCATTACAGTTTGGATTGGCATCGGCAAAACAAGTTCATGAAACTTGTAATGTTAAGAGAAATCAAAGATTGCAATGACTGACATTTCATGAAATAGGCTGAAAATAAGGTTTCTTTCTTTCTTTCTTTCTTTCTTTCTTACTTGTCTCTTTTCTTTTTTACTTTACTTTTTTTTACTTTAATATTTATTCAAGAATGTACAATTTGGTCTTACTTATGAATCAGAATTGGTTGGTTAGTTGTTTGGTTGGTTGATTGGTTGGTTTGTTGGTTGGTTGGTTGTTTAAATGGTTTGTTAGTTGGTTGGTTATGGTTGGTTTGTTGGTCAGTTGGTCAGTCAGTTGGTTTGTTTTAGTGAGACCATGTCACGCAACAGTTGAGTAGCCACATGAACTATATCCCATTGTCCCCCGATGTCTCTCAGGTTGGTGCCACTCCACTCCCTGCAATTAACTTAGTGTAATGACCTTCGATAGAAAGTCGCTACTACAGTCTCTGCTGTAGTTGCTAGACTTTTTGGCCGAATCGGTAGAGCATCTGACTCGGAGAGTGAAAGGACCTGGGTTCGATTCTGGTCCGGGGCATTGAATTTAGCACACTCCCTTTCGGGTCTAGTATCTGGCTCGGTACACTACAGCTCCCTCCACATGTCCAAGGGTCAATACATTTAGTCTCTCTCATCTCCTTACTCAGGTAAAGTGATTTGAGGTCCCTTTCATTCTCTATTCCACCATACATGTATTTATATTATCAGGCTTAAAAGACAGAAATCGTGATCAGGAATGGGTTAAGAGGATTTTCATAGAAAATAGGTATGACAAAGAATGAAATAAGCTTATTTTTGAAAAAGGTCCCTTTATCCCTCTGATCTCATTATCCATTTTATTTAGATTAATTATTGTTGTATTATTTATTCATCTTTAGAGACATTTTTCTCTTCCTGATAAAGAATCCATTTTACAAGATATGTAAAAACATGTTGATCATGGTTTCAGTAAATAACTGGAATTCGAAGGAATAAGGTACACCCGTAATCCATATGGCAGGCATATATTGCTA